TAATCTAAGAGCATACATTAATTACATTAGTGCTATTGCATAGCTTAAAATATATAAACAGATATATAATATACGTAAATTATACGAAAAAAAAAAAAAAAAAAGATAAATTCCATTCACCATTGGCACAGACTTTTGTTGCAAATTAAATATTTTTTTCCCCTACCAGAATTATACTTAATTACCTATTCTTAATAAGAGGCCTATTCTTAATTCATATATTGCATAATGCTCATGCACCATGCGTCTTCTGTGACTTATAGTTTTGAGAACCTGAGTATCCAGTTTTGAGGACGTGAGGGTCCTGGAATACGAATGTTAAATGTTATAAGGCATGGATGGAAAATACGTATATTTCGAAGGCCACAAGTTGCTTTTACTGATTCAATTACCTCTTATTTACTATAATATTATTATAACACAAAAGTTCATTAAATTGTGAAATGACCTGAAAATCGAGAAATTTCCTCGGACATCTGCATTTGTGATGTAAATAACAAAATTCAGTGTCGTAAAAACACTTTCGGGTAAAGCCAAATAAACCAAATTTTGAAATTGGCACATTTATGATAAATTTCACTTTTCAATGCAACCAATTTTTCCAATGTTAAACTTAAAAGAGATGAATTTCTTTTAGGCAAATGTAACGAAGTTATGATATCTAACTTTTCCAGAGCGTGTAGTTTTTATTAAGTTCTCTTAAGGTTCATTTTCATGCTCAGCGAAGAAACAGGGATTTGATGTAAAACATATGTGTCAAAATTTGGGCCAAAGTAGTTGCCAAATGTTATCCAAAATTCATCAATCTTATGCTAAAGTGATAGGTAATAACTATGTGTGCGTTGACAAATCTACCTTTTTTTGACAGTTTAATCTACAATACATTAATCAGAAACGGTTTCTCACATACGGAACAATCAGCTACGGCTAACTGAAGATAATACAGAATACTTCATCGGTGGACACTAGACACATAGAAAATCTCTTACGTAGACAAGCACACTGGATGACAAATACAAAGAGATAAATACGTATTTTTTAACAAGTGAATTTCAAGTCCACTGGTTTCTCTTCGTTAATATTTTTTTTTGGAAAGCTAGTTTTATCATAAAAAGAAATATCACATTCTACGTATAGTTTGCTATTGACGGTGACAGAGTGAAAATTATGCCTGTTTGAATTTCACCCTGCATTTGGCAATTCAGATAAAGCTTATAATTCTTTATTGATTCTTATGTTGAACAATCGTACCAACTCAAATATTTAACCGCTTAAGTCATTTTGTTAAGTGTTTCTGGATAAATGTAAGGCAACAGATATTTGCGTTTGAAAAAACTGCTAAAGTTAATGACAGATAGGCAAAACAGCGGCCGAGCGGTAAAGCCGCTGAACATTGGTAGTTCCGACCTGGTTTCTATTCCAGGCTAACGGGCTGGCTGCATGGGCGAATTCGAATTTTCCCCATTTGTAACATGTATAGGAGCCAGTTTACCTCAGAAGTTCTCCACGAAGGCATCATGCTCCTTAGGCAGATAGCTCTAGTGCTCTTTGCTGTAATTTCAATAAACAAAAATATCATAATGGCAGGTAACGTTTAAGTAGAGAAAGCGTAAGCTAAGCTCTCATTAATATAAGTAAAATTTGCTGTCATTAAGTTTGTCAAGAAATATCTATTAATTTTTAACTAAAAGTTAATCTTTAGTGCTTTCCTTTCACTCTCTTTACACCCACACCTTTCATGCCAGAATGTAAATGTGATAGCGAGCGTTTATTAGGATTGAGGGAGAAAGAAGTGTTATTTACACAGAAAAGAAGTGTTGCGAAGGTTACGCAAGTTATTTTCAGAACGTGTTCTGCCTACTTTAAGCCATGTTGTACCGTGATTATTAGCGATTTGATTCTATGGCGTTGAGTACTTCTAGCCATTGGGCTTGTCTCGCCGGTTTTCTACAAACCAGAGCCTTTCCTGTGCCGGTTTTCTACAAACCAGAGCCTTTTCTACTTTACCATGTGAGCCGTCAGGCTAATCTAATACATTTGATATTAGTTCAAGATTGCGTATTTAAGTTAGCCAGAAGTGTTGGCTTGTGTAAATGCAAGTTGGATCATTGTTATTTCTTTTGGGTTCAAATAAAAACATCTTATACATCCTTCTTATGACTATGGGTTCCTCTATTCACAGGATCAGAAAGTAATTCTTTTTAAAGGTCTGTAGTTTATGCTCCTAAAGAACACCATACTTTATAAGTTTTTAGTGAATAGCATGAAATGTGCAAAGAAATAAATAACTTCAATAATATATATTTTTTGGTATGTTTATAGAAAGAACTATATACATAGCTTATTATTTATGTCAATTAAATTTCGATGAATTCTTTTAATAATATTTATCACCTAATAAAGTTAATAAAGAATTTTTACTGTTATTTATGCCCGTCAAGTTCCTTTAATGAAAATGGCAACATTTAAATACGATTTCATTACCTTCTTGCGAGTCCCAGCATAAAAGAAGTTGTTACACAAAGTTATAAATTATGTCTAGGATTTTTTTTAACAGAGAATGAAGTAGTTACGAGTCAGAGAGGCAACGAATTTATAGCCATTGCTATTTTTAAACACGGCAGTCAGTTTTATGAACATTCTGAGCAGTTCGCTGGAATGTGTTTCTGCTGAGATTATACAATTCGCAATAGTTTACTTAAATTTTCCCCTTTTATTGTATTCATGATCCTTCTTGAAATTCTAACTGTTTTCGCACGGAGAAAAGCAATTGGAAAACTAATCAAAGATGAATAAAAACATATGTAAGAGATAATTAAATATCTTTGTGCGTCTAAAGAAAAAAACTATATTTTGCATACGTATATGAGTGTGCAAAAATATGTTCAGTGCATTTTTTTTAACGTAATTTGGATATTTCATGCTATCTTCTAGGTTAATATTCGCTGTGTTGAAAAATGCTGTATCCTTCTATTGAGGTTACATGTAGCAGTGTGTTCTTAATTTTAGAGCTGAAGAGTTTATATAAAATATTATCAAAATAGGGTTATGATAAAACTAGCTTTCATGAGTCGTACATTTTATAAACTTTTTTATTGCCACAGGATGTGAAAAGAGAAACTTGCGTGCGGAAGGCAAGATTTTGCAGACACCTTTTTTCTTTTTGCCTGCCAGAAACAGTATTTCGAAGCTATACATGAAAATATGTCAGAAAATACGAAATCGCGGTACGGTGCGTAGTATATAAACCTGCAACTGCGTGCCAAGAGAAGAAGAGAAGAATTTTCAGTTCTTGCGTTTTCTTTCAGAAAAAAATCACAATTCATACAAGCCTAGGAAAAACAGTCCTCAGAATTGCTCTATCCATGAGTGCACTCTGCATGAAAATTTATTATTGCTATTATAATTTATATCAATTCTGCAGTGCAGCAAGTGCAGGGAACTCTCTCTAAGACGACCACTCACAGTTCTGCTGATTTTGGGTCATCTTAGAGAGCTGATGTTTAATAACGATGTTTATTTATGCGCTTAGAAATAATGGTCACTTTCGTAGGTGGTCTCTTAAGGGAAGTAGCTACAAGGAGAGGGTTTACTATACTGTTTTTTCTAGAACTTCTATAATTTCTAGAAAATAACCAATATACGTATATTTGAACACATAAAACACAACTTAATGACTAACACTGAAGGTAACATAAACATTTTAACAAATACACAAAGTGAGTTGTACAAATTATTAAAAATCTGTTCATGTAATATAACAATCAAATATTACGAATCACATGAAAAATTATAAATATCATGAATGAAAAAAACTAAGTTTGTAGGTAATGAATTTTTATTGGGAAAAAGTAAGCGTATTCAAGTTTTTGTATTCAATTATGAGTGTAAAATTGAATTTATTTATTATTTGTTCTTCAGTAATTTTAAATTTAGTGTTTGAAATATCACATCAAGATTGCTTTTTGGTACCACTACAATTAAAATTTTATAATAGTCATTTTATTATTTTGAGTAACAAATATTATTTTACTCTTGCTTCTAGAACGTAAGAAAATATTCCCTCTAATTTTCCTTATAGCTGCAACTACAATGTTGCGTGATATACGTCTGGTATTATTGTGAATGTATTTTGTATGATGTTTTCATTCGGTTATATGCGTGTGAATAAAAGTACGCCTGTGTGTACAAAAAGCATTGCGTCATCAGGCATGCACGCATATTTAAGGGAAGTTAAAAATGACTATTTATATGCAATTAATGCCACTAAACATGTGCAATAGATCAGATAAATCATTAATATGAGTAAAATTGCTTAATAAATTTTGGGGTTGAATTTTATCAGATAGACATTTCGGGTAAATAGCCTGGCATTTATTTTGATTGCATACGTATGTAGTTTTTCCAGAATGTAAATGTGAGTATATTTATTATACATGGTAATAAAAGATGTGGATTTGTGTTTTTGTAAACTTCCTCGTTAAGAATTTTCATTTCGGTTAAAGGCACTACATGGATAAAAAGCAAATTCATGGGACATATATATCAGGTTAAACTGTATTACTCTCTGATACGAATATTTTATGACACAGTCATACAGGTTCAGTCAGTTAACAAATAAAAATCTTTTTCAAAATCAAAGAATGATTAATTTGCACTATATTTTCGTAGTCATACATTACATTTTAACAAGTAAGCAAAATATATCATGCAAATCACAGGAAGATTCTCTTCACATGAGACCATATTTAAAAGCAATTCTTATAAAAAAAAACAGTATCACAAAAAAACACACCAACTCATATTTAGGACAATAACCAGACTTTCAACAAGATTATAAACTTAAAACAACACTCGGATACGTAACACGCAAAATTCCATTTGCAATTTTCCGTAGTTTAAACATTACTACTCAAAAAGCATAGGCAGTTTTGTCCAGTTAGTAGCAAATGGTTAAAGTTAGTTATAATATAAAAAAAAAAAAAAAAAAAAAAAAAAAACATCTCATTTAATGTATGTAAAAATATTGTTAAAATATTCAAAATTAGCAATAAATATATATTCACTTGTTCATTAAAATCTGAAAAACAATAATATATTAATAAAAACAAAAATGAGATTGAAAATTTATGCAATGGCTATTGTTACAAATACTACAGCGTTTCATTTTTTGATCGAATGTATATCAGAATTAATTATTGATTTTGAAATCTTTATCAACATTCATTGCTGATTATATTAAATTAACAAAACCCCATTGCAAAGTAAGCTGATATTTGTTTTATTAGCCCAAAAAGCGAAACAAAAGGATCCTTTGGGCGTAAAATAATATCTGAAAACTTTCAGATTGTTAAAAGTTTTTATTTTATTTACTTATTTATTTTTTATTGCTTAAACTGCCCATCTTACTACCAATAAAAAAAAAAAATGGTGTAAAATTCCGAAACCTAAAAATTTAACTTATACAGGAACTTTTTTTAACTGTTAAAATTTTAAGCATGCAAATAGTGTTTTCTTCAGATATTTGATTTATTAAATCATCTAAAAATATATAGACAGCGCTATGAAAATTTCGAAAAATCTAAATAATTTTATATAAGTCATGAAATACTTCCGTTATTTATATGAGTCAGGATATACTCCACACATATGTTTAATTTATTTTTCCACCAATGGCATGTATTAAAAAATAATGCCGTTTTTACATCTTTTCATGGAAAAAGAAACTTATAACAATTCATGAAGAATAAGTAATCATTTTATGCAGTAACTGGACAAAGTTGCCTGTACTTTCGGCTTGTTTTAGCATTACATATTTTACCAGCTCTCACCATTTCACTGGTAAAGGCATTACTGGATACATTTGAGTTTTTTACCCCTATAAAATATTAAAAATTTTAATACGTATTAACTCAACACTGACATATACCACTTTGTGCCAACACTTTTCATTCTAACATCAAAATGAAAAGATGCATTGCATATCCGTAAATGAAAAACAGACTTAACAGTGGAAATAGTTCCAAATTTTAAGTACTATGTATATATTGTTCGATGTGGACTGTAATAATAACAACAAAAAAGTTTGTAACATTTCCAGTCATAAATCATTGTATAAAATCACATAACGTATGCCAATGCATCATTTTTCACAGCCTTAAAATATCAACTTTTCGATTAAGGATAAAAAAATGACAGTAAGAATGAGAAATAAACTTCATAATGAAACATTTCAACTCCTGAGAGACTAATACATTGCACCACGACTTTTCAATACCTTTACAAATAATAAACAAGTGAAGAGAGAATTAAAATCGATTAATCACAATCGTAATACAGTTCTTCGCCATCTTGGCATTGTATTTATTTTAACGTCGACGTAAGTAGTAACTTTTCTAGAAAATACTTCCATTACCGAAGACACAACTGTAAACCTACAGCGACTTTATTTCTTGTTCTTTAAACGATGAATTCTCATTTGCCATATTTTTGGCAAAATCAAAAATAAACCACCGCTTCTACAGTTCTAATGGATGCAGACGCACCTGTCTCAATGTTCGTGGAGCAGATGCTAAAATAAATTAGTTGTGACAATCCTTTCATCAATCTTGTATCTCACTCAAAAATGTTTCCTCTAATACTTTGTGGTAAATGGTCATTTAAGTAGTTCTTACGTATCATATCAAGGATTTGTGAACTATGGTTTAGTTGTTAATACGTATAATTAATTCATTACTCCGACTTCGGAACAATTCTATGGCAAACGTAATGATGGAAAAAACGATGCACCTCTCAATCTGGGTCTTAAGGTTTTGGATTCCGAATTTTGTCCTCCAGAATTAAGGAGGTGGGTGAGGTGATGATGGAAGGTGGATGGTCGGACTTCCGCTCTTCCCTCTTGGCCTGGTCCACACCGTTCTTTTCCTTGTCCTCATCTTTGACTTTGGAGGACTCCATGCGGGCCTGCTCGTTGATCTCTTTGACTGCCCGCATTTCTTTTTTGAGCTTCATTCGCCGGTTCTGAAACCAAATCTTGATCTGGCGTTCGGTCAGACAGAGCGCATGTGCTATCTCGATCCGCCTCCGGCGAGTCAGGTAGTGGTTGAAGTGGAATTCCTTTTCGAGTTCCAGTGTTTGGAATCGTGTGTACGTCTGTCGGCCTCTCCGACGGGGACAACCGTTCGGTCCTGCAAAGTTCAGGGCTACCATAAGAAACAACAGCAATCAATTACACACCAAACGCCTTTTGATACAAAAAAATGCCCTCGTGATGATGCTGTCCTCTCTGATAGTAAGACTCCTACTCCAGATGAATATATAAATCCAAGGAATATATATATCTTACTTCTGGATTCAAAATATTAATTTATGTTGTATAATATTTTTTTTAAAAAATTAAGCTATGACAGAATCTTGGGGGGGGGGGGAAAGTTTCAAATGTTACTGAAACTTACTGTTTGAACGAACAGCATCATTTCGAGGACATTACATAGAATAAATAATAGGTCATAAAAATAAAACATAATTCCAACATACACAAAAATGAAATTGTATAATAAAATATTTAAAAATCAACCAAGAAAACATACACTTTTATCGGATACTTTTGGAAGCATAAACTCGAAAAAGAAATTCCTGTTTATTATGTGAAGGAATTTGTTTTCTGTATTTTATTACAACAGAAGTATCTGGTAAGGGAACTAAAAAGAGATTTTCGAATAAAAAATTGAGTTCTTTTAAGAAAAAGCATTTAATTAGGATGTGTAAAATTTAACTGTAAAAATTATAATTCCTGAAAGAAACGCATCAACTATAACTTGCATTTAGAAACTTAAACAAATTTTAAAAGCAACATTCATATAATTTTATAATTTCAAAAATAGAATTAAAAATTAAATTTTAGCTTAGTTAATGTTATTTCAACCCAAAATTTTATACCTGCTTTTTAAATTCTTGCTGGTTCTGCAGCTCCCTTAGTTGCTATGAATTTATCAGTTCATAATTTCTTACATGTTCTATATATTCCATTAAAATAGCTTAAATTAGTAAATTTTTTGGCTAAACAACTTAAAAAGCAAATTTAATAAAACATTCTAACTCAAAAACAATGAATCAAAAGAAATTTTGTAGTTTTTTTTTTTTTTTTTTTTTTTAATATATCAGTTCATTACGATGTGATGTCAATGGGTTTCAAACGATTTAATCTATGAAAAAGATTTATTTCTAATTTTATATTTAACCGTTACATGAAAAATAGAAAAATTCTGATAGATTAATGTGACAAATTTTAATCAAAATGATTTGCATCGATTAAAAATAAAAGTAGTCTTATTTTCTTAGAATGTTTCTCTGGGTAAACTGTTGCATTCAGATTATTTAGCAACTTCTTTCTTCTTGAACTTCATCTAGTATTTTTAATATTTCTATTTTTTTCTCTGTCATTTCTGTCTTACTATATTCGCATTAATATAACATTTTGGCTGTCCTTTTCTACATTTCTATACATTTTAAGATTGCGCGCCTTTTGAATGCATAACAGTTTTATACTGATGAAGTAAAATGAATTTAAAAATTAACATTTTTATTTACATTTCAAATACTTTTACACTTTCGAATACTTTTATTTATAGTCCAGAATCCTCGAACCATTATTATGTAAGTAAATGTTTTAAATAAACAAAGCAACAATACTAATGTATATATTTATATTGATACACTTTTCTATTTTTTTATTTCTTATCACAGAAGAAACATACTTAGCAGTGTGCTGGAAAGAATGTAGATAGAATTCAAAGCATATTTTACAGCTCTGAATCATAATTATTAAATTCTGTAGCAGTCATGTAGATACTGTCGTGATCTCTTTCTTTACAGTGTGAGTATATGCATACTAAAATTATAAACAACTGTATAATTAAAATCCTCATTAAAACACGAAACTGCAGTTATTAATTATCTTGCGTTACTATTGATATTTAAAAGAATACAACAGGTATTTTAAAACTTATTTAAGTTCACATTTGCATGAAGAAACACTTATTTAGATGTATTTATAATACTACTATTGAAATCTGATATAGTGAATAATCATTTGTGTATAAATTGCAACTTTCAGAGATACTTTTGTCATCAGTTTAAATAATAATAATAACAATAAAAGATCGGCGAAATTCAAGAAACAGCATATTCCATCTCTCCAGAGGCAAACGATTTAGCATCCTTATTTGAGTTAATAAGAATGAAAGTTAAATCAATGCGTTAAAATTCCTCAAATACTTCTTTATAATGTATAATACTTATTTATTAAAAATCTCTTATTTTATAAATATTATTTAATATTTACATATTATTACTAAATAATTAATTTCAGACAAATCTCACTAAAATCTGCTACTATTATATATATATATATATATATATATATATATAGTAAATTTTAAATTAAATTTAAATAATTCCCTTGCGCCATTGCTGCAAGGAATGAAATTTGAATTTAACAAATATTCTCTATTCGTATTAAATTTAAAATTTAATTATGAAATTTTAATTGCAAATAAAAAAGATTAATTATTGCTGCGAACTAATTTACAATTACAAAATTTAACTTTAAGTTAGCTTTATACGAATAGAGAATACTTGTTATATATATTATACATGGAATTTTAGTGTTTTTTAGAAATTACTGCATGTACAACTGTTAAACGATATTTAATATTTTAAAATGTTAATCATGTTTATTTTCAGGTTCCGTTCCTCATTTTGTGAAATATTTGAAAATCTGGAAAGTATGAAATGAAGAAAAGTATGATCGTGTGATGTAAAAGGAAAGAATCTTAATCATCTCCACTTGAATTCTGTTTTCGGTGCAGAGATAAGTATATTTTAACTCTCGTAAAACATTTATTTTATTTAATCTTTAGCTACTGAAGCTTTTTTGTAGATTATTTAGTAGTTAAAAATAAAAATTCTAATATTTAAAATGTAAGTAAAATTCATGAAAACTACGTTACGCTGACTAAATAAGGTTCCACAGAAAATCTTTGTTGTGTTTGTAATAATTTCTTTTCACTTCTAAAACTTCTAAAGAATTGAATTATTGTTTGTAAATCTAAGAGTATTTTGGAGAACTATCAGTTAATGTGCTTTGCTGCCTTTATTAACTTTAAAATACTATTTAGTACCGAAGATTTAGCGTTAAACATAAACTGAATAGATTTCCAAGTAAATTTTTTTGTTTTTGTTTTAATAATAGATAAGATCATCGTAGTTATACATCGAATATTAAATTTTATAAGAAATCAGGGGGCGGGTATAGAACTTTATTCAATACCTTATTTTATAATGTTTATTAAGCTGTTTCCTTATAATTCAAATGAAGGTATTGAAATGGAAATACGAAAACTAAATCCCATTATAAAAACTGAAAGTCTGTTTCTCAAACTTTCTTCAAAATAAAGAGGAATTCTTGTCCCAAGTCGCAACTTAACCACATTGTTCTTCTTTCTGTAATCTAAAGTATGTCACATATTGTCAAATTTACACAATTTTGCACATACAATATTTTAGTGAAGCACAGAGGAGCTAGAAAATCTGCTTACTTTTTAAATCGGATTCAATCTATTTCATTATAAACCTCTAAACTAAGATATTTATTAATTTTGTGTGAGAATTACTATTACTAATAGCGTAGTTGTCCAGAGTAAATTTAACGTAAATATACAGAGCTCCATAAACATCTCCATACACAATGTAACGTAATGTAGTTTACCTAAAAGAAAGTGTTTACTACAACAAAAGAAATTCCTCATTACCCTATAAATTTTTATCTTCACATATACACTAATAATGATTTTTCCTTTTAGATAAGCTTTATTGTAATTGAAGATTACCTTTTCTTACATGCGGAAATTTTGAATCATTATGTATGATTATAAAATATTCAAAATAAACTGCAGAAAATAAACATCTGAAAGAAATTTTGGGCATTAAAAAAATTTTTTTGGAAAAATTTGCCATGTCTCTTCGTAAACAGGATGCAAACGTTTGAACATGATTTCATGGATTATCTTCTAATCATTCAGATAGAGAATATTATTCAATTTCACGACTTCACGATTCAAAATTTCGAAAGTGTGTAAACCAAAGAATGGAGAGGATTAACTTCAAAGTTGCGCTCGTATTACGTAAATAACTCTAGCTGGTAAACCTAAGTCAGTGGTCTAATGATTACTTACATGTGGCTCACATTATAACAAACAACATCTTTATTTTTGAAATAGTATTACTAAAAACAGAGGTCGTGCTACGAAATCTCTCTTCTTAATCAGCATGAATATCATTTACTGACAGCAATCAGGATTGCGGCTGTGGAACTACTTTTAAAACAAGTCAGAGTTATTAGGACAGCAGAAAAGACAAACACATTTGCTTAATATGCCTGCGCTGATGATGTACTTTATATCATACTGAAGGCACTGTAAAAACCTTAATTTGCAATGGATTAGTTTGTTTCCTATATATTGATCCTAATGTTAGCTGTGCAGGAAAACTTAACTAATTTTTTAGGCAAAATTCTATTAGTTTGATATTTTAATTTATGTGGCTTTTCATCCCAAACTGGCATTAGTCCAAAAGGCCTATTAGTCTTGAAACGGCATTTTTCGTTGCATCACTTTTCAAATTGTCGCCACCAAATATTGTCGCCCTGTATTATATTAAAAGAAATTAAATAATGAAGAATTTGCATGAATGTATGTATTTTTCTCACATTGTGAAAACACAACGGTACCTAGAGCCGTCAGATTTTTAATAACGTAGTCCTCCACCCGAATATGAGCATTTGGAAACCCGAAGTTAGAATTTCGTATTTGTTTCATTGCCTATTTCAGATTTTGTAAATTTCAGATTTTTTTGATTAACAAACTCAGCGATTTCAAAGCGAGCAATGGCAACACTGTATGGGAGGGGGGGGGAATGATCTCCAGCGCGCGAGACCGTCTTTCGGAAATTCTAAAGTTATGTTGTTTTTAAATATTTTTAGCCTAAAGGGATAGTATCCCCAATGCTCTCCAAGCATATATGTTTGTATAAATGGGGAGGAAAAACCGCTCCTTTGGGCTCTAAGATTCATTTTTTTCCCCTATAGAAAAGTATAGCTTTTCTTCAGAGAAATCTCGACTTGTTTCTGAATCAACATTCAAAA